TAGCTGCACCAGTGGATGAGACCAAGAGGGTCAGACACAGCACCAAGGACAAGATACCAACATTCATCCTCGAACTGTACAGATACATCACTTGTGAACTGCACAAACAACAGCAGTCTTTATATACACCCTTTACTAGAAGGAACTAGAAGCCCCAAAATCAGTTGTTTAACTTTTATCAACTGCCAGTGATGTGTACATAGAGGAGGGTGTGTGTATACAAAACAGTATGTTTCAGTTTCCAGCCTTTCTTTTAAGTCAGCTTTTACTGCATGTTGTGCTGTATTTGACCCACAGCCATAGCTATCAAGGAGTCAGTGTGGTAGGAATAGGCAGTAGTGCTTGGGCTGGACTGTATCTCGGTTCATTGCCCTTATCTGTAGAGTGAAACTAAAATGTGACTAAATCAAACCAAAGACTCCAAACAACTCCTTTACCGAAAGTAAAGATTGCTACATTCTGGTTTGGGATGACATAATCTGGAATAACGTAATATATAGAGAGTGAAGTTGTGAACGTAAATATCAGTAAGAGTGATGTCATCTTCCAGAACAATGTCAGCAGAAGTCACTCCATGTGGGTAAACCCTCTCATACTGTCTCATACTTGTAGTGGAGCAATAGAAAGTGTAGAGAATGGAGGTGGGGAGGTGAATGCTGCCACTCCAAAAGATCCTGACTGGGGAAAATTTGGCTCCTTCTGGCTTATAATCATGTAGGTATGAACATGGCAGTAACAACTTCTGCATGTACGAGACACACTTTACTGCAGTAGCAATCAAACTTGATTGGAAATCCTGTTCATTACCACTGCAACATGAGTTCAGGTCAGTGATACACTGAACACTGTCACTACCACTGCCATCATCCCCCTCTTCACTGATGTCCACATAGGAATGGTTGGCCAGTGTCTGGCCCATGAAGGAGAGACAGGAAAGCTCTGAGAATGGACCTTCACCAGAGACCAGAGGAGACTCAACATAAGTAGATGGTACACCATGGTACATTGTGTCGATTAATGTGTTGCACATGCGCAAGCGTATCTATTACGCGCTTTACTGGTGGGTTAGAATGCACATATTAGGAGATGAAACAATGCCCACAAAAGTAAACATAACTGGCCAAAACTACAAACAAATGTTTCTGTTGGGGTGTACAAACTAACAATATAGTATTGACATTCATAATGTAGCAAAAACAATGTTCGAAGGAGGGCTCTGTGCACAAGCCAATTCATCAGTCACACTGGTTCATAGTCTCCAGCAGCAGTAGTAGTAGGCTGGGAGGTAGTGGGAGGAGGAAGGTTTTGTGGTACATCTTCAGCTGTCCTTCCAGTCTGGAGCTGGTCTGGATCTCCGGAGTAAGGCCATCAGTGGTATGGAAATTATATTATGTCATACTAATGTAAGAGTGTATGTTCGTGCCTTGTTTTTGCAGAGTAATTACCCTCGGCGCGCATGCGCAGCGAGGGTACAGTAGTTGGGTCTGTCTGTCTGTCTGTTACTCTCAATCTCACTTCTCGAATGTCTGTTCGTCTCACAAACGGTACGACCTACTTAACTGGCAAAGAAGGTCAGAAATTTCGAACGGTTTTCTCTGAAAATGCTTCGTTGCAAAGCTAGAGTGCTTCCGCCATAGTACGGCTAACGCTGCGGAAAATGCGCATGCGTTTAGATTTTCAACAGGCTCGGGTCCGCTTGCTCTGCGTATCTTGAAGGCACGAGAAGTCACAACGAAGGGCGTGTATCGACTCCCGCATGCTATCTACTACTGTAGCTAGCCCGTTTCAGACTCTCTGCGAGCTACTAGCGGGAGACCACGAGTAAACGCCTACTAATAACAGCCCAGCCATCAATTAGCGGTACCGCGCAAACGCCGAGGGTTTGCACGTTAGTGCTTTTCATTCCCACTGCGACTTCTCAGCACTAGAATCACTACCACTATGAATGTCAGTGAGGTAGTGATTATAAGGACCACAGCCACAGCTACTACTCCACCAATAATGGCAGAAGTGTTATCTGTCGAACTCTCTGAGAACATTGCAATTGAGGCCGTAGTTAAGGCATGTGGAGACAACCAACCTCTCACTATCAACGTTTGAGAGACCACTGATGGCTTATTGTTACTCACAGTACAGTTGTACAGTCCTCCCAGTCTCCCAGCCACAGTCAGAGTGTGGGTGTGCCTTGCAGTCACTGGGTCATTCAACACAGTCTGGGTTCCTTGGGTGACAGTGGTGGAGTCTCTGGTCCAAGTGACAGTGGTAGCAGGTCCACCAGTGGAGACACAGGTGAGGGTGAACTCAGGACTGATTCCACTGAGGTCAGAGTCAACCGTCAGTACCACATCTTCAGGTATGGAGACAGAACCTACCAAAATGAATGGTCTCGTGAATATTTTAGTGGTTTAACAGTATACATACATAACCAGATAAAAATGTTAACCTCAAGCTGCAATTCTATCATTTTATCCTGAAAGATGGTATTTACTAAATCAGCACTATATTTTGCCGCAAGCAACACATACCTCCAGTGCCAGTATACAGTCCCATATAGACTGTGTCTCTCACTGAGATGTCAGTATCATCATGGACAGCATTAGTTGGAATATCACAGCGATAGATGCCAGTTGGTGAGGTGGCAGATTTCCTACGACTTAGTTCAACTCTCTGAGCATCACGATGCTCGTAGATATTCAGTATACCAGCAGAGAAGGGCAGTCTAGTTCCATTAGGGAAATACCAGTCTCCACGATGAGAACCCTCAGTACTAGTACAGCATGTTGTCAGGTCAGTGTGACACTCAACACTGTCACCACCATCATAATAGTAATGATCTCCCACTTGACTGAGGTCCACATAGGAATGGTTGGCCAGAGTCTGGCCATGAAAGGAGACATAGGGAAAGGTCTGGCAGTATACTTCTCCCACAGACCAGCAGAACAACATCAGCCATACCAAGTGAATCACAGCCATTGTTCTCTATTCACACAACTTCTGAATAAACTGTAGCAAGAACCGAAAGGTTATCACTACTACACCATCCACCCACATTATGGAGAGGGAAATGAAAAGGTCATCTCTTAGATTACTCCTCCTAACAAGAAACAACCAAGTAATTCAACCTAGCTACATGAAAGAGGATGAAAATGGAATAACATTCATAGACTTTGTCAGGTAATCTCCCTGATATATAACACAGAACAACTATATATGAATGCCAAATTGCAGTTCTAGTGTTTAGTCAAGTTTCAATTTCTCTGATCATTATCTCGACCATAATTCATAATTTATCCGTTTCCCTGGCTGCAGAGTTTTAGTAGTGTGTTTTGCCAAATGTCGGCTGATAGGGAGATTGATGGAAAGCAAAAAGGAGGGGATTATGATTAAAAAAAGATCATCAGAAAGAGGGGATAAAAAAAGATCATCATGTCACCCTCACAATAAGGCAATTGTGACCTAGTTGAATGAATTGTATCATTTTACATTGGTGTTCGTTTATTCATAATAATCAATTGGGATTGTGCTCAGTACGCAGCCTTGAACTTTATGTGTCTCTCTCTTATTTTCTTCTTTCTCCTTGTGAAAGCATTAGCTGTTTAGTTTCGTTGTGTACATCAAATTCCGGTCTAAGCTCCTCAAACTAATCTCACTCACCAATTTCAATGTTGGCTGTCCCTCGTCGGGACAATACTCAACGACAAAATTGTTTTTCATCTGGAAACTTCATCTGGAAACTGAAAACACCTATAAGCTGAGCCACACTTCTTTCGCTGACTCAGCAGGGCGTGGCTACCTTGGTGGAGCCGCCATCTTCATAATATCAGAGGATGCTAATAATTATACGTAACACCACTATCTACACAAGCCACAAGTGCCACAATGATGAAAGCAAACATTACTGTCGCTATTGCACCTGAAACTCCAACTACAGGGAAAGACACAAAGACATTCATTATGCACAAGCTATGGTTTCCAAACCATGCACCTATTAGCAAGCACTACGGAACAGATTTGGATGTGATGAGTAATTTAATCTGATTCCCAAGGAAAACAGCCTTCATTATGTATGTTGGCCTTTTAAATTGCAGATAAATGTTTTCGTACATCGAGAGATGCTTGTAGCTGGCTACACAGTTGCGCAGACTGGTGAATCGTGCTAGGGGGTAGCATGGCTGATAGAATGATACGTGGGGCTTAAAGTATGCATGTGCCATTATACTCATTGCTAGTACAGCGAATAATTAGCAGCAGGTAAATATAAATGGCTGATGTTCATCTGGTACTATATAGGAGCATATACTTTAATATAACTTGTAATTTCCCCCCAGAAATTCTGATGATCCTTTTGTTTCTATCCTCAGACAGTGTTTGAAGGTTGGTGCTACATAATTATAGAGAGTTTCTTGTGTATTCTAATCTTCCTAGAGCAAAGGGGCAGTGGAAACAGTGAGTTCTCACCAGGCAGTTCTAGGAGACATGGTAGCTAAGTGCATCATGTGATAACAGGTATGAGAGGCATCTGCCTGAATCATCTCTTACACTATGAATGTGTTAAATTTGTTAGGACATGTCCCTCCCCTGAAAATGAGAGACATTGCACAATACCTGTTCGAGAAGAGGCCATTGCTTCAGCTACCCAAACATGCGACCGTAAGACTAGTATATGCACTAAAATCTAATCCTGTTATAGAGACTGGGATATAGAAACTGTGCTCCTAAATGCTGGTGTCGCAGCACAGCAAAAGAGGAGAAGTAAATCCAGTGTTGCTCAGTCTCGATTGCTCCATTCTACTGAAGGTAGATTATTGCTTTACTGCATGCTATCGGATTTTCCCCTTATTAATAGCTACCTCTAATACACCAGGCAGTTGTTCTAGTCAGGTTCAGTACTGCCACTACAGAAGACACTCAGAGAGTAAGTTGGATAGCCAACCTACAACGTACGATGTATAGTAAAATGAATTATTATCATGTCACAGTGGGTAATGAAGTAGTGGTAAATGCTGGGACTGTGGCTCAGCGAAGGAGACCACACAGGTGTCTGTCTGCATCCCATGTGCCACTGGAATTCTCGAGGACTAAGCAGTTTTGTTGATCTGCTAAATTCCAACATCAATGAAGATCGTATAATCTAACTATAAGCCCACCCATGTAGTCATGAATCCCACTGTGAATTCTTAGATATGCATAAACAATAGATAGGTGCAGTCCCTGGGTAACTCCCTTTGTAATACGAACTAATCTTTCCTCTAGGACAAGTGTCTTGGCTAGCTTATATAGGGTGAAGGCTATGAGTAAAGTCAAGGTGTGTTCGTGAAGTGGAGGCTAGCTGTAGTGTTATATGTGACCCAAGAGGGAAATGGTGGTTTATGGATTTAATATAGATGCATGGTGCTTAGATACACTGCTATGTGAAAGTATGTAAATGATTATGTTCATACGGTCTAATGGTTCTAATATTGACACACACCAGTGTAAGTTGCACAATGAATATATGCCAGCAGATTCAGGACCTGTTTGAAAAATGTATTTACAGAGAACCATATGCACAGCTAGCTAGCTACACACACCTGCTGTAGTAGTGAGTCAAGATAACTCCGGTCCCTTCTGTGGGAATATCTTCCCCAACCGATTATTCATTACATCGGAATGTCATCCGTAATTTTTTTCCCTCTGAGTGCTTGCTCATAGGTGTATGCAACATTAGGTTTGGAAAGCAGCTAGAGTTGGTATGTCTGTGTATCTTTCCCTGTAGTTGGAGTTTCAGGGTCAGTAGCAACAGTAATGTTAGCTTTCGTCATTGTGGCAATTGTTGCTTGGATCTATCGTACGTTAGCTAAGTGCAATCTGTCAATTATAATAACGACTGTCCTTATTCGACAGGTAAAAATAGAAACAAAGGTAAGAGTAAATCAACATGGCACTTATTTCTCTGACCATGTTTTATGACTAGATGTTTCAGATGAGCACAACAAAAAGTGTCATGGTAACAATCAACTAATGTAAAATGTTAAATTTCACAACCATGCTTCCATCAGTGTATGAAGAGGTAGTTACAGCTAATCCGGCTGTACACCACAATCCAGCATATGAAAACCCAATGAGGATGAGGCTTGAAGAAAACCCAGCCTATGCCTCCACTCACTACTACAGCAGGTGTGTGTAGCTAGCTGTGCATATGATTCTCTGTAAAATTAATACCTTTTTCAAACAGGTCCTGAATCTGCTGGCATGTATCGTGCAAATTACACTGGTGTGTGTCAATATTTAGAACCATTAGACCATATGAACACAATCATTTACACACTTTCACATAGCAGCGTATCTAAGCACCATGTCTTTATTAAAAATTCATAAACCACCATTTCCTCCTGTGTGTCACATAGCTACTAATCATTATCACTACAGCTAGCCTCCACTTCACGAACACACCTTGACCCTAGCAATACTATGCAAGGAAGCATAAGGAGTTAAGTTAGACATTGTACTTGTAGCTATGGAGGGGTCGAGGGGTACACACTGACGAAGGCATGTGGATCCTGCTCCCACCACACTCACTCCAAACCTCATGTCTGTGTACCTCATGTTATAGACATCAATACCGTCCCATCCAGTGTTAATCACTGTAGTGTTGCGTATGTGTGTACTTTAGCATTGTCGAACTCTATGCCATTCCATCGAGAATTCTCGATAGTGCTCTGGACTATTGCAGTTTGCTCTGTGTGGCTGAATTCTATTCCATCCTTGCCAGTGTTGCTAACAGCTGTGTAGTCTCAGTGGAGTCTCCACTGCTTTGAGAGCTTCAATTCCACTCCATCTTGTGTACTTTACATGTGTGTGTTCAATCAGTGTGTAATTTGAATTTCTCACATCTATTCCATGCCCACGTGTGTCATTGATGCTGGTGCAGTACACCACAGTACGATTGGCTTGCTGCAGTTGGATTCCATCTCCTTTTGTACCATTGATATTTGTGTTAAGTGTAAGTTGTGTTTTAAACAAGTCAAGTCCATTTCCTCTAATATTGTGAAAACGATTGTTAGATAGGGTGGTGTTGTGAGCGTTTTGTATACTTACTCCGGTTGATAAAGTGTTCTCCACTTTGCAGTAAGAGAGGTTTGTATCAATAGTGTTGGTCAAAATAATTGCAGTTCTAGGACCATCAACTACTACCTGATGGACAGTAGTATTCTCTGTCTGGTCAAGGGTTAAACTAGTGTCATCTAATGTAATTCCAGCAATCTAAATATTTGCAGTATTGATAAGCTTCAGACGATAAAGTGAGCTTACAGCTCTAATCTGCACTTGGATGTTGGACTTTCTGTTAGTGTTGCCTTCGATTGTTATGCACCTTACATTTTGTGCAACAAAAGACCTGGTAGCTAATGACGTGTACTCCAGGGAGAAGTTTAAAGACTGTGTTGGAGACGATGTAGGTACTGGAGCTGGTAATATACTGGTCCAGAGTCTGGCAGGGCTGTCCGGGACAGGAGATAGCTACCAGCAGGGAGTGGAGTCACATAGTTGACTTGTTGGGAGCAAGTGTCAACATCATCACTTGTGTCATCACCGGATTCTGGGACTTGTGGAGTATAAGAAGTTCGTCCTTGTTAACCCTCGGCGCGCATGCGCAGCGAGGGTTACAGTAGTCGTTCTGTCTATCTGTCTGTCCGTCCGTCTGTCCGCGCGAGTTCTAGCACTACAGGCTACGAGGCGGCCAATGAGTGGCACCAACGGGTTGTGAACGACTAGAAGATTGATATTAACGTGGTGATTTCCCCGAAACGACTGCGTTCCAGAGATATGGCGTGAAAACAAGCGAAAAAGCCAACGCGCGGTCGATCGCGCACGCGCCCTCTCCTGCAGGCTATATAGCGCGCACGCGTCATGTCAATTAATCGCCGGAGCATGCGCTACGCCACGTTGGTTGTATATACGATCCACTCAGTTTTGATCTCTGTTCCCTATGGATAAACGATAAACATGCTGAGCAAGGTATGTTCGCAAAATAGTTCAAGTGGCGAGCAGTTTGTGGTTGCGGCCTTGCCTTCCCATCTATACAACGTCTGGCGAGAGCATTGAAACACAGAAGAGCAGATAGATTGAATAAAGCAAATATGATAGCCTCTGAAACACATGAGCTATTGCTCTAACCGCTAATGCAACTATCTACCCTGTGTTACGGTGGGACTCGTGTTACTGGCTCCGTCGATGACACAAGGCCCAGCATACAGCGATGCTACAACTCGCTAGTTTACCGCCGAGGGTTTGCACTTTAGTGCTTTTCATTGTTACAGCAACAGTTCAGTTGGGTGGTGTTTCAACAGTACAGGGCCCGTCTGCACCACGACAATCCAGAAGTCTCCAGCCTACATTTGTGATGTTAGTGGCAACCACTCTAACTTGGTAGCATAATAGAGTTTTATACCATCCCATCCTGTCTGGTTCACAACTGCGCAGTTGACTGTGGTTTGGGAAGAATCACCTATCCGCATCCCATGCCAATTTGTGTTCTTAGCTGTAGAGCAAGACACGACTATATGTTAGCTATATTCCCTTAGTTTACAGCAAAAAATCTGCCTCCAAAGCGTCATTGATGCCACTGCTACAGGTGAAGCATAACTAGATAATTATAAGAGAGAGAGTCTCCCTAAGTTGTGTGACATGTTTCTGGTGTGAACACTGATGTATAGAAGAGATTGAACTCACGTGCTTATCGCGCGGTGCAACCGCATTTTTTGTGGGTATGACGAGCTTGGGCATTTAACGGTAGTCGATTGTAGCTACTCGCCGCGGGCGGGCGTCGCTAGTATGAGCCGGTCATGGCTACACTGTACAACTACTAGCATAAACGCCGGCACGCAACACAACAGAAAACGATGATTTACCTGTACTAAAGCAGTTCTGCCTCAGACAACCTGCTATTAGCGAGTGGGTACAGCTGCTGCTAGCGAGCTTGTGCATAATGAATGTTTTTGTATCTTTCCCTGTAGTTGGAGTTTCAGGTGCAATAGCGACAGTAATGTTTGCTTTCGTCATTGTGGCACTTGTGGCTTCTGTACCACTGATACGTATAATTTATAAGCATAAGTTGTATTGAACTAAGTCAAGTCCAATCTCCACCACTGTCACCCAAGGAACCCAGACTGTGTTAAATGACCCAGTGACTGCAAGGTACACCCACACTCTGACTGTGGCTGGGAGACTGGGAGGACTGTACAACTGTACTGTGAGCAAACAATAAGCCATCAGTGGTCTCTCAAACGTTGACAGTGAGAGGTTGGTTGTCTCCACATGCCTTAACTACGTCCTCAATTGCAATGTTCTCTAGCTGCCTCCGCACCTACTAACCTGATGTTTGAGGTTAAAAGTGATGGTACTAGTGTCCTACTGACCTGGACCCCACCTGATCCACTGAGAGACACCACTGGCTACACCATCTCCTACACTGGAGGCAGCAGTGGTAGTGAGCCTGTCAGTGGTGGCTCTACCAACAGCTACACTCTGACTGGTCTTACAAGAGAGGAGATGTATGACATATCAATTGTAGGCACTTCAGAACATTTTTTCAGTGAGAGTGTGGGGTGGGAAACTGTCACTCTAGTTCCTGGTGAGCTCCACCCGTTACAAAAACCTAATTTTCAATAAAATGTATACTTCCAGATCTCCCATCTCCCACTAATGTGACAGCAGTCCAGGATGGACCCACTAGTATCACAGTGACCTGGACTCCTCCTTCTCCACTGGGAGATACCACTGGCTACAGGATTTCTTACACTGGCGGCAGTGATGTGGATATTGATGGTGGCTCTACCAACAGCTACACTCTGACTGGTCTCACCAATGGACAGACCTACACCATATCCATTGTAGCTACATCTGAACACCTCTTCACTGATGCCACCACATATGAAATCGCACAAAGTAAGAGAGAGATAGGGTCCTACAGTTCATCTAAATGTAATCCCTTATTCCAGTCCCAGCTCCAGGGCAGGTGTTGGTGTCAGTGAGCTCCATAACAGCCACCTCTGTCTCCCTCTCCTGGAGTGTGTCCAGTGGGAGGGTGGCCAGTTGGGAGGTGGTCTGGAGACCCACTGACAGAGGCACTGAGAGCACCAGTGGTCCTCTGTCTGGCACTACCTACACTATCCACCAGTTGGACCACTCCACTATCTACACACTCACTGTATCAGCCATTAATGTAGCTGGAACCACTGACAGCACTCCCCATACTTTTCTCCACTGGTGGTAAATGAGAGTCTGCTTCATAGTGAAACTATCCTTTTTGTTTGTTTCAGCAAGTGATGTTGGTCAGGCAGAGAGTTCGACAGATAACACTTCTGCCATATTGGTGGAGTCGTAGCTGTGGCGTGTGGTCCTTATAATCGCTACCTCACTGACAGTCATAGTGGTAGTGATCTAGTGCTGAGAAGTCGCAGTGGATACTCTGCAAAAACAAGGCACGAACATACACTCTTACATTAGTATGACATATTATAATTTCCATACCACTGATGGCCTTACTCCAGAGATCCAGACCAGCTCCAGACCACAAGTAACGAGGCCTACGATGTAGTGAGAGGGACTGGAAGGACAGCTGGAGATTATTATGAAGTACCACAAAACCTTCCTCCCCCCGCCACCTCCCAGCCTACTACTACTGCTGCTGGAGACTATGAACCAGTGTGACTGATGACATGGCTTGTGCATAGAGACCTCCCTCGAACATTGTTTTTGCTACATTATGAATGTCAATACTGTTTGTACACCCCAACAGAAACATTTGTTTTTTTTGGGCAGTTATGTTTACTTTCGTGGGCATCGTTTCATCTCCTAATATGTGCATTGTAACCCACCAGCAAAGCGTGTAATAGATCATACGCTTGCGCGTTTGCAAAACATTAATCGACACAATGTACCATGGTGTACCATCTACTTATGTTGAGTCTCCTCTGGTCTCTGGTGAAGGTCCACTCTCAGAGCTTTCCCTGTCTCTCCTCCATGGGCCAGACTCTGGCCGACCATTCCTATGTGGACATCAGTGAAGAGGGGAATGATGGCAGTGGTAGTGACAGTGTTCAGTGTATCACTGACCTGGCCACATGTTGTAGTAATTCCCGGTAGTATTTCGATTGTTACTACAGTAAAGTGTGTTTTGTACATGCAGAAGTTGTTACTGCCATGTTCATACCTACAGATAAGCCAGAAGGAGTCAGTTTATCCCCAGTGAATTCCACAGCAGTCAGGATCTCTTGGAGCAGCATTCACCTCTCCACCTCCATGATCTTCACTGTCTATTGCTCCACTATTTATTATGAGACAGTATGATAGGGTTTACCCACCTGGAGTGACTTCTGCTGACATTGTTGTGGAAGATGACATCACTCTTACTGGTATCTACGTTCACAACTTCACTCTCTATTACGTAATTCCAGACGATATCATCCCAAACCAGAATGTAGCAATCTTTACTTTCGGTAAAGGATTTGTTAGTCTTTGGTTTGATTTAGTCACATTGTGTTTTCTCTCTACAGATAAAGGTGTCTTTCAGATTCAGTTTGGGCCATTTTACTACTGCCTTGGCTCGGTACACAATGGAGGTTGATGTGCATATAGCCAAAAACATTGTGCACTGAACTGAGATACAGACCAGCCCAAGCACTGCTGCCTATTCCACCCACACCCACTAAAGGCTGAGGGCAATACCGCACATTATGGTGGACGCATGCTTGTAGGCTGTGTATACTGATGTGTAGGCTTATGCAAACAGAGCTAAGGGGCTAAGATATGGGGCATTTCCTGTGTCCCACATACAGTAATACATGTCATGGAAGTGCATTGGAAAGGCAGATGTCCCCATTGAGGAAGACGACACCATCATGCGTAGCCTTTCTGATCCACCCATGGAAGTTAATGTGGTAGACAGATAAATAAGTGAAAGTACCAACTTGTGCCGGGAGTAAAGTACAGGTGAAAAGTATGAGGTAGAAAGGCAAACAAGTCAACTACACCCAGGACAGCTATTTATTTCCAAGGAAAAAAGAAGAGCTGCCCTAGGTGGGTTTCAAACCCACGACACTCTGCTTTCTACACTCTGCTTTATAGGCGAGTGCTCTACCGAGTACATGTATACTATCAATGTGCTCCAGGGGTAGTTGGTGTGTGTGTGTATATGGAAGTATATATGTACCATCGTCCACTCTTCGGGCTAATCTCTTCTGGGTCTTGTCTCCAACATGTACCGATTCCTTCATAGCTATGGCTGTGGGTCAAATACAGTACAACATGCAGTAAAAGCTGACTCAAAAAAAAGGCTGGAAACCGAAAAAAATGTTGAACAAATATATAAACACACAAAATGGATTGTCAACCAGAGAGAAATAAACTCCTTGCTTCCTGTTTCATTCACATACTCTTCTGTATACACACACACACATCACTGGTATGTAGTTGACTATAGGCAATAGTAGCGAGAGAACTGATTTTAGGGGTTTTGGTTCCCATTGTAAAGAGTGGATTTCAGTGGTATAAAGACTGCTGTTGTTTGTGCAGTTCACAAGTGATCTAGCTGTACAGTACAAGGGTGAATGTTGGTATCTTGTCCTTGCTGCTGTGTCTGACCCTATTGGTCTCATCCACTGGTGCAGCTACTGGCTCTCATCAAGTAAACTATGTGATTCCAACCTCACCTGCTGGTATCCCCTGTCCCAGATGAGGCATTTGAGGGGTGTTTATACAGTGGGAAAGGCTGTTCTGGGCTGGTGGCTGAGTAAAGAACACTGTGTGTGGGAACCACTCTTGTGGTGCCCACTCACGATAGACTAAAACACCTGTGTGGTTGGATTTAATACAGGAAGTATATACCCTATCAGCAGGAATTTGCAGGCTCAGTATAGGGGTGGAATTCAGCATAAAAAGCAAACCAATTCCTGGCATTGTACACTATAGTGTGAAAGCATTAGTTTGTAAAGGATGAACATCACTATCTGTACATTGTGGCTGTGTCTCACCCTATTGGTCTCATCCACTGATGCAGCTACTGGCTCCCAACAAGTCAACTATGTGATTCCAACCTCGCCTGCTGGTATCCCCTGTCCCGGACAGCCCTGCGGGACTCTGGACCAGTATATTACCAGCTCCAGTACCTACATCATCTCCAACAGAGTCTTCAAACTTCTCCCTGGAATACACGTCATCACCAGGTCTTTTGTCGCACGAGACATTGAGTGCATCACCATTGAGGGCGACACTTGTGGAAAGTCAAACTCTCGAGTACAAATCAGTGGATATTCTCTGCAGTTTATCAACACTATTCATGTTTACATTATTGGAATAAAACTGATTGATGTAGGCATATCCCTTGAAGGCACAGAAAATGTCACTCTTTCTCAGGTGGTTGTTGATGGCCCCAGAACTGCAGTTAGTTTGCTTAACACCATAGATACCAACATATCCTGCTGCAGCTTGAAGAATACCGGCTGGACAGCGTTGACTCTGCGAAACACACATAATACCAGCATATGTAACACCACTGTGAATAACACCGGATGGAACGGATTCGACTTCTTCAACACATCAAAAACTGGAATATTGCACACCTTCATCAATAGCACTGGGTGGAATGGAATTGAACTACGACAGACAAATTCTACATTGATATCATGTTCTGTTGTAAACAGCACAGGTTGGAACGGAATTGAAATACGACAGGCAAATTTTACTGTGATTTCTTGCTCGACTGTAAACAGCACAGGATGGAATGGAATCGACATTTTCAATTCTTCCCAAACCACAGTTAATTGCTCACTAGTGAACGAGACAGGTTGGAGTGGTATAGAGATCCGCTACGGTACCCAGGCTAGAGTGATTGGAACAAACATCACAAATGCAGGCTGGAGCAGGCTGGATTGCAGGTATACAGATATGCCCTGTACTGTTGAAACACCGCCAAACATGAACTGTAGCTGTAACAATGAGGACATGTGTAGCTCAGCACCACTAAACTTATTAACTCTACAATCCCCAGAATGCGGTAATGAAACAATTAGTGATGACATAGTGACCTGCTCGAAACAAGTCAACTTTACGACTCCAACCTCGTCAGTGTATGAGAGATCCCAAAGCTCAACATATCCAACACCTATGATGTCTGTGATTCAAGTAACTCCGGTCCCTTCTGTGGGAATATCTTCCCCAATCAATTATTCATCACATCGAAATGTCATCCGTAAGTATTATTTCTCTGAGTGCTTGCTCATAGGTGTATGCAACATTAGGTTTGGAAAGCAGCTAGAGTTGGTATGTCTGTGTATCTTTCCCTGTAGTTGGAGTTTCAGGGTCAGTAGCAACAGTAATGTTGGCTTTCATCATTGTGGCAATTGTTGCTTGGATCTATCGTATGTTATCTAAGCGCAATCTGTCAATTATAATAACGACTGTCCTTATTTTACAGGTAAAAATAGAAACAAAGGTAAGAGTAAATCGACATGGCACTTATTTCTCTGACCATGTTTTATGACTAGATATTTCAGATGAGCACAACAAAAAGTGTCATGGTAACAATCAACTAATGTAAAATGTTATATTCACCACCATACTGCCCTCAGTGTATGAAGCTAATCCGGCTCTACACCACAATGAAAACCCAATGAGGATGAGGCTTGAAGAAAACCCCGCTATGTCTCCACTCACTCTACAGAGGGTGTGTAGCTAGCTGTGCTATGATTCTCTGTAAATACATTTTCAAAACGGTCCTGAATGCTGCTGGCATATTTAATGGTCATATACACTGGTGTGTGGCCATAGACCATTAGACTGTATGATTTACATACTTTCATAGCAGTGTATCTAAGCACCATGTCTTTATTAAAATTCATAAACCACCACTTTCGCCTCTACGTCACAGAGCGACTAATAACAGCACAACAGCTCAGCCTCCGCTGCACGACACGTACCTTGACTTACTCACAGCCTTAACCTAGCAATGCTATGCAAGCAGAAGCATATGCAACATGCTCCTAGAATCACATTACCAGAGAGACATCAGCACAATAAAAAATCTTTGACCAGCTGCAAGTATGCGTGTGTAGTAGCAATGAGTTACTGGCCCATGCATGCTAAATCAAGCCCCACGTTACATTCTATCAGTCATGCTACTCCCTAGCATGATTCACCAGTCTGCACACCTGATGTGTAGCCAGCTACAAGCATCTCTCAGTGTGTACGAAAACATTTATCTGCAATTTTCTGAAGAGCCACTTTGTACAATAACAATCACCATGCTTGTGTAAATTGATGAAAGCTGTTTTGCTATAGACAATACTGCACACACAACCACAGACGGGACAAATGACTACCTCTACAGGCTCACTCCTCATTCACTCCCATAGAACAACACGCAGAGTCCATGGTCACATGCCAGGTCAACAGTTCCTTCAGGAACCCTTATCGTGACACCGTAGTCTTGAAGATAGTCAATCTCCTACTTCCTTAGGTTTGTGTGCTGTGCTAGGACATCATAGTGGGTATTCTAATGCCGTCATACATATTATTCTCCAGGGCATGTTTTTTGTGGGGGAGGAAACAAAAGAGACCCTTCCTCTCAAAACAATCGGCCGGAGGAATGAGTGTTAGACCTACTGCCATTATTGTCGGATGCTCTCCATGCATGTTACATGACGTAACTATTAGGTACACGCGGACTAACTAACGCCTGTGGCGTTTGTACCACTCAGGGCGCGCTAGGCGCAGCGAGGGTGAACTGTAGTTGTGACGGTCTGTGTCTCGCTTACTCCTCAATCTCACTACTCGGGTGTTTGTGTTCGTCTCACATAGGGATACGACCTACTTACGGGCAATGTAGTCAGAAATCTATATCGACGATTTTCTCTGAAACTGCTGTCCTGTTTGCACAGCAAGAGTCGCGAAAAAGCCATAGCTATGCAACGTACACAACGACACGTCGGGATGGTTACCACAGTCGGATCGATCCGACTGTGTCGCTGCGTACATCGAGGCACAGACGATGCACCGCAGGGCGTGTATCGGCCTCCGCATAGTCTATCTATGTAGTGTAGTTGTTAGCCCGCGTCAGACTCTGCGGATTAAACTCCAACCCAGCACCAGCAAATAGTGGTACTGCGCATATATAGCGTTTACTCGCGTTTTCGCACTCACCTGGATGCGCCGGTGGTTTTGCACTCAGTGCGTTTGCATTGCACATGCGTTGATTCGCACATGAATGCATGATGTCTACCTTTATGGAACATCATGCATTCATCTAACAAATTGATGGCACGACCTCGTTACTTTATGTAAGTGTACCTAAAGTAACTACGTGCAAGTATCATCAGTAATTTCTATTATGTCTGTCAGTGCAATCGATTCAACGAACTGTGCTCTTTAAGGATTGTACGTCATACATTGTACTCTGTATGGAGGGGTTCGAGTGGGTACAAGAAAAAAACACACTGCGAAGGCAACTTTGGATCACTGCTCCCACCACACTCACTCCCAGACCTTCAGTGTCTTGGACTTCATGTGTACAAGTGCATCGAATATCCCGTCCCAGCAAGAGTTATCACAGGATAGGTTGCGTAGGTGTTTACTTTTACCATGGTCACGAACTCTATGCATTCCATCTGAGATTCTCGATAAGCGCTGGGACTGATTAGCAGTTTGGCTCTGTTGCTAACTTCTATTTCCATCTCTGCCAGTGTTTGGCTAACAGCTGTGTCCATCAGTGTAGTCCTTCATCTGCAATCGGAGCTTCAATTCCACCCCTCTTGTGTAGTTTACATCCTGTGTGTTTCAATCAGTGTACCTGTGTCTAGTTTTAAATTCTACCACCCCTATCATACGGAGCTCTTACTTTCTTTCTTGAAAAGAAGGGCTGGCCTGGGGTATTTGACTTTGTTTGCCATTGCCTTTCTGTGCCGATTCCATTACCTCATTGTTTTACAGATGCCGCATTTAGAATGGTCTATCATTGATGCGTGGTGCACGTACTATTACTCTATGCATGGCTGGCTACAGTGTGATTCATCTCCTTTCTGGTACCCGTTGATGGTTTTGTTTTGTAGAGTTATTCGAGTAACTTTTATTATGTCACAGACTCAAGTCCATTTCCTCTGATATTGTGGAGATGATTGTGGATGTCACATAGGTTTGACTTGGTGCGAACAAGCTCCTAGCGGCTCCAGTGGACTTGAATCAAGATATAGGGAGTGAAGACAAAGGATGCTCATCCTTCAATAAATTAATGCTTGCACACTATAAATGTACAATGGGAATTGTTCAGGCTACGTTTTATCATGGAGATTCACCACCTATTGTGTTGTTTCTTCTGTGGTATTTGAAAACACTCATTCCATTTTCATTCATCGCTGTCTTTACACATGTGGGTGGAAAGATTGAATTGTAAGGATTAATCAATACCTTGTTTTGCTGTTGTTCTTACTTGTTAGGCAAGTATCAGACAGATGACAGACACGATAAATGATCTTTCCCCTCTCCATCAATCTGGTGCGGACATGGACGTGTACGTAGTGATATAACCCTTCCGGCTCTTGACAGTTTATTCAATACAGCTGTGATGTGAACGACGAACTTGCCTGGTTGAATTCACTTGCCTATGGCCATGATGTGTTCTGCTGGTCTGTGGGATAAGTATACTACTGCCACCTTTCCCTATTCTCCTTTCATGGCCCAGACATCTGAGCCAACCATTCCTATTGTGAGAACCTCAGTCAAGTGGGAGATCATTCTAGTTATGGGGTTGCTGACAGTGTTTGTTGGCGTACTGACCCTGACAACATGCCTGTATCTACTATTGAACGGTCCTCTGCGTGCCGAGACTGGTTATTTTCCCTAAGGGACCTAGCTGCCCTTCTCGCATGTGTCTACCACTGTTCGATAAAATCTCTCGAGCAGCTGATGCTCCAGAGAGGTGAACTACGTCCGTATAACTATGCCACATCACCTCACTCGCGCCATCTATCTCCTGTGATATTCCAACTAATCGCTTTCCATAAGATATTGACATGTCGGTGAGACGTGACCAGTCTATATGGGGACTATATCTGGCACTGAGTATGTTACAAATAATGTGTCCTAAGGTATAT